CTATTGTATTTCAGAAGCTTAGGGAATAATAATTCCACCAACATGAGCTTGCATCCAAAATTTTAAAATACGTGAGGGTATGGCCACCATGAGCAAGCAGAAGCAGATAATGGGATTTTAAAAATATTTCAAAGTTTATATTTAAATATTTAAATGATCATAGTATATAAAGAATAGAAGAATTTGAAAACATGAGCAAAGGATGGGTGATGAACCAAAAAAACTAAGCAGAGTTTTAAAATAAATGAAATTATTGATGTCTGAAATTTGCTTCAGATACTTATGGGGGAAAGGTGGAGATGAAGTATTATTGGCCATTATTGATAAATTGTTGATGCTGGTGAGAAAGAGAACCAAGTAGAACTAAAAAAAATAGGAAATATAACTTCCGAAATGGAAAACTAAGAAGATATGTTAAAGAAAAGAAGAGTTAGTGCCCTGAAAGAGCGAAGTTGCCCAGAATACAGCACAAAACGACACAGAAATGAAAAACATGAAAGAGAGAGTAAGAGACATGAAGGATAAACTAAGAATGACTAACACACAGAGTGGAGTTCCAGAAGCAATCAGTAATATCCAGAATGATGACAACCATGAGTCCTCAGACTTGAAAACATAGGTTCCTACAAGGATACATAAAAAGACAGCTACAGCTAAAAAACCTTGATGAAAAAATGTGGGCTGGATTTAAAGAATGCCTTTGTAGAGGAAATGGATGTTTAATTTGGCTTTGATGAGAAGAGAGAATTTGGACTGGGATGGGGGAAAGAATAGTTAAGAAATTTAATCTTGTGTAACAATATAGGTTTGAGTTGGATAATAAGATATAAGATTAGAAATAGGAACTATATATGTAAAGACATGGAGGCAGAAAAAGTATATAATACGTTTGGAATAATTACAAGTCTTTGGAACTTTTTGTATGATGTGGTTGACATAGGAAGCAGTTGTGCATAGTTGATATAGCATAGTAGTTTCTATCATAGTTTGTCTAGGGAGCAGAGGCAGTAACCCACATCTATATCAGGCCAACTTTTCCTGCCAAGATCATGGCCTTGTATTTTCCATTATCTTTGTCTCCTCCTCTGCCCTCTGTATTTCTCATCCTCCCAAATGATCCCAAAGTTTCCTTCTTTTTGTTACATTTGTTCCAGCTGGAGAATCACTCTCATTGGACTCCTGAACTGAAAACGTATATTGTTACCTAAAGTGGTGGTTTTCTATTTTTTCCCAGTGGATTCCAGTCTCCTTCCTTCCCTGTCCTACCTTGTTTGTGGGCTGATGACTACAAAGTTTACTTGAATTACTTGGCTTTGACTTAGAATAAGAGACAGTGTTAGGAGATCCAAGGGCAGGAAGAAAGGAAAGTTGCAGTGTGTGTTTCCATTTCTCCTTGCCTGCCTTGCCTTGCTTTTCACAACAGCGTTCAGCTATGGCCACAACTGTTGGATAGTTCCTTTTTTAAGATTTAACCTAAATCAGATTCTGGCAATAATTAATAGTTCCTCTTGTCCTTTCAGGCTAAGAGTGATAATGGATTTCTGCTGTTGCTTGACCTCAGATTCTTTTCATTCCTTGTTGGTTTAACTTTAATCACATCTCCATAAGTAGCTGATTTTAAAAACTCTGTTTAAAAACTCTTTCGGTGTACTATCTGCCAGCTGCTAGGACCCTAACTGATAAATTTCAAAAGCCTGTGTTGTTCTCAGAAGCACATTGAAGACCAGTGAATATCATCTCTTGTGTACACGTTTGCAGAAATCTCACCTTTCCCCAGCTCTTAAATTTTCCGGGCATTGAGTAATATTCTCTTTTTTAGTGGCAGTAGAAAGTTTTTTTGACCTTTCTTTTCTTTTTGGCAAGGGAGGCTTTCTCATTTTCTTCTTTTGCCCTTTTTATTTCAGCAGTGGAGCCCAGCTGTCCTTTACTTCTATCAAAGTTCCCAAACTTTCTCAGTTCAGTGTCTTTCTAATGTTTCTTTTTTTTCTGTTACTCAGATACTTTATTTCAACTTTTATTAAACCAAATCCAGTAACTTTTACAGTGCCTTACTAGAGGGTTGTCTCACAATTGAACCTTCCTTTCTGGTGGGGAGGAAACCATGGCTTCAGGCACATGACTGAAGTTTGGCCATGTTCCATCATTAGTGTTACAATGCCACCAGGGACACAAAGCTCAGCATGAGGACTTCTACCCAAATCTCCCTAAGACAGGTACTTTAACTCTTCCACCACCTCTTGAGCCTCAGGGAATTTGAGTTTGCGTGGGGGCCCCCTTCTTAATCGCAGTTCAGAGCTCTGCACTGCAGCAGCGTCACCTTGAAGTTGCCCCTCCGGGGTTTGGCCAGGTTCACCTTTACTGGAAGCTGTGGGACCTCTGGGCACAACGCCTGGCTCAGGGCCGCAGCATTGCGCCCACAGACGCATCACCTCGAGTAATGCTCAGTAACAATGGTCGCCTCCTCCACTCCCTCCCCGCCATTTACTAGCTTCTTGGCAGTGGCAACCACCGCGGCCTCAGCCTTCTGTTTCCTCCCACTGGGAGCCATGGTGCCTAGAACCCGGCCGAGAACACAGCGAAACTACAAAGCAACGACCTAAAGAAATACCCAACAGTTCCATTTATTAAGAAGTGCTTATTAGTTAGTATTTACATCTTAAATCAGGAGTTTTTGAAAAATACAAATACTGAGAGAAAACAATATATTTATTCCATTAGTACATAGTTACAATTAACTAATGGGACATGTCTGCCTTTTATATACTATATAACTTCCCAAAGCTTGGGATCATAAGGACTCTACACTCCCATCTCTTTTCTTCAATGATTCTTCATATGAAATTGCTTTTTACTATTGTTGAAAACCCACCTTAGCAAAGATATGACATCACCAGAAGGAATATGGAATGTTCTAATGTTGAAACTATGAACTAGTTCTCACAGTGTCCTGTAGATGTCGCTGTGTTTCCTATGAAAAGTGAAAATATTCTCAGGCACCCCAGGGCTCCTCAGCGAACACCTTGGAAACCTCAGCATTCTTTGTGCTAATTCTTTTATGATAGATGTGTACTGTTCTTTTTTCAATTGCAACACATTTTTAAATTTGTTGCTCTCCACCACGCGTGAGGCTGATGCTTTTTCGTTTCCTTTCAGATCTTAAACTTCCAGATAACACACAGAGATTCCTTAGGTCTACCAAGCAGTTTTCTCTTTGATTCTAGATTCAGTTCTCTTATTCACAATGAGACAAAAATCTTACCATTTTAGCCAGTGTAAAAATGTAAGAACTTTTAGCAAGTACTAATTCCATCTCTAGCATGTGTGCATCTTGCATCTTCCTGATTCATAACAAGCCTTTGTCCCCTGCATCTTCTTCATCCATAGCAATTCTTCCTTGAGACAGTGGAAGAAGGCAGGTGAAAGTAGACCTACCTTCCTCTCATCTAAAATAATGGAGGCTAAATTACCAATCCTGACATGATTCTTCTTCCAGTTTATTTCCCAAAGTAACTGCTTCCAAAATATGCTTTTAACTTGGATGTTATAGTCTTCGTACCCAATCTCTTCTGTATGCCATTTGCTAGTCTTAAAATAATTATATTCTACTCATACTTCTTTCATGACAAATCTTTCCCATATTAATTATGATTCAGAAAGAAGAAATGAGATGGGAAGCCTTGAAATCACATCCTCATTGCCATAGATGTATTTTTCTAATTCTTTTCATGTTTGGCTATGAAGCCCTCTGGCACATTGCATTTTGATTCTTTTTTGTTGTTGTTGCATTTTTTATAGGTGTTTTTATGTTCATTTGCATCAACTAGATTTATAATTTAAAGTCCATAGATTTTTTTGCTATTTATACCAAGAGCTTAGATAATAAGATGCATAAGTTTATAAATTGAAATTGGTTATATCAAATAAGTAATTTATTGCTTTGTAGAGCCCTAAAAAGGGAAACATTTATCTCTTTTTGTTGATGGTGTACAGAAGCCTGAACAATAAAATAATAGAAAAGTCCAGTACTTTATAATTAAAAAGTATATACATTACAACAGTAGAGGTTAGTGTATGAATTGACCCCAGCTTAGACACTATGTTCTACAGGTGTATTTAAACACTGGTTATTAAAACCTTAAATGTATTTCTCCACATAAGCATTATTTCAATGTCTACAGTGTATTCTCTTTTTAAAAAAAAATTTTTTTTATTTTTTTTCTTTATTGTTCAACTTGAACAGTGCATTCTCTCATATGGCTGTGGTATAATATACTTAACTTTTTCCTGGGGTTTGAACGTTCAAATTCTTGCTAATTTGCTTTGTAAGTTATTTTTTATTATTATAATAAATGAGTATCTTTCTGTATAAAGCTTCATCTGAATTTCGCCTTTCCGCCCCTCCATTGCAGAATGGGTCTTGCTACCGAGTGGTATTCTTTTGAAAATTAAATAACCTAAAAAAGAGACACCCCTCCAAAGAAAAGAAAATTAAATAACCTAATATTCTTAAAGTACTTATTAGCACAATATGTGGCACATTGTTGGTACAGAACAAATGCTGTTTGCAGAACTTTTTCAGGCTCAGCAATGAGACAAAGTTTCAAATGAGTTCTTTGAAGCAAGCATTGGGGTAGTAACATAGCAGTAACATAGCACATGATGGCGAATTAGAGGAGGGAAATCCAAAAGATTGAAGCTGTAAGAGAAGGAGTTTTTGTGGTTATTCATCTGTATTGGTTGTTCCCCCTTATGTATACTTTAAGAATACCTCAGCTGGAAAATGTCACAATATGTTTTGGTTTTTTTTTTTTAATTAAAATGTGTAAGTTTGTTAAAGTAATACAGTTGAGAAACATTACAAACCTCTTTAAAACAGTGTGACCTTTGTGTTATTTTTGTTTATTGTATTTGTATTTCATATTTTTTGTGATATTTTATTCAAGTGTGTGTCCAATGATGTCTTTTCTGTTTTCTTTATTTTTTTTTTTAAATTATCCTAGTCACGTGAACTGGAAATTTCAGTTTATTGGCGTGATTGGCGATCTCTGTGTGCTGTAAAATTTCTGAGGTTAGAAGATTTTTTAGACAACCAACGGCATGGCATGTGTCTCTATTTGGAACCACAGGGTACTTTATTTGCAGAGGTAATAAATGTATTTTATTTAATGTGCCTAACTACAGTTGAAATTACGTATGTAGGCAGCATGATACAGAAGTAGATAGAATGTTAGGCTGAAAGACAGATGACTTGAGTTCTTGTCTGAGCTATGCCACTGAATAGGTATGTGATCTTGAGACAAATCAACTACTCATCCTATGTCTGTTTTCTTATCTAGAAAATGAGGGGCTGGACTAAACTATAACTTAAGATTCCCTTGAGCTTTCAAATTTTATAAGTTTAGTGGATTTCATGAACCATAAATCCAATGCTATTTTCATGTCAACTTGAATTTTCTTCACTGCAGGTTACCTTTTTTAATCCAGTTATTGAAAGAAGACCAAAACTTCAAAGACAAAAGAAAATTTTTTCAAAACAACAAGGTAATTACTAACAATCAAATACATAGCATTTTGTTATTTTCTTAATCTAGTTACTACTTTAATAGTAATAGCCATCTATGTTTGTTTGTTTATTTATTCATTTATTTCTAACTTTTTATTAAGGAATATTTTAAATGTGTCCGTAAGTGGAGAGACTAGTGAAATGTACAGTCACCCAGCTTCAACAATAATCAACTCATGGCCAATTTTATTTTATCCATATACCATCCTCTCACTACTTTCTCAAATTTGAAGGAAACCCAGACATAATGCCGATTTATTCATAAATATTATAGCTTATATCTCTAAAATATAAGATTTCTTTTTAAAACCATAACCACATATTACTACTAGACTTAAAAAAAAATTCTTACCTATTTATTTTTAAAACTTACACTATTTTTATTTGCCTTTACTAGCAAATAGCTAAAAACTAGTTTTTTTAAGTGACAAATTTTGTTTGTTCCTCATAGATTATAAACTGATGAATATGAATTTTTAAATTATGGCCTTTGGTTATATAAAGAAATTACTTGTTTTATTTCTGTTATTCTCAATATCTACAGGCAAAACATTTCTCAGAGCTCCTCAAATGAATATTAATATTGCCACTTGGGGAAGGCTAGTAAGAAGAGCTATTCCTACAGTAAATCATTCTGGCACCTTCAGTCCTCAAGCTCCTGGGCCTACTACAGTGCCAGTGGTTGATGTACGCATCCCAGAACTAGCACCTCCAGCTAGGTATGTGTCTGAGATTTTAAGCATCTCTTATACAAGTTAATGGGACATTCTTACATGTTGATTATAGCAGGTGTACTGAGAGTCTTGTTTTTTCCCAAGTAGTATCTTGAAAGTAGTCTTCTGTTTACTTAATAAGTAAATCATTTGCTTTAATTTTAAAGCTGTTTAAAATACAGACTTTCTATTACTGTTTTGGTGAGTTACTTTATCTTCCATAAGTGATTCTACAGTAACCAAATTGGACTTTGATCTTGAGCCTGAACCTCCTCCAGCCCCACCACGAGCTTCTTCCCTTGGAGAAATAGATGAATCTTCTGAATTAAGAGTTTTGGATACACCAGGACAGGCAAGCCATTTTAAACCTTGCATAATTCCTCTTCACCAAATGAATTAGCAGTAAAAGCATCATAGTGAATAAGGTGTACGTTTCCATTTAAAGTTGCCACTGAGCTGTGTATTATTTTTGTTTCTTATGGTCTAGTTTCAGCTAAATAGGAGATAACCAACTTCTTAATGTTAGCAAGACATTGGCGTTAGCCTCTGGATGCTCATGGGCCAGAAGAGATAGAATAGGCTACTTAAATAGAATAGGTAACGATAGGAGTGTGGTTAATACTACATGACATACTGCCGGAAACACTATTCTTCTAACTTGATTGACAGTATGCATTGAAGATGATAATGTGTTAGTTTTCCCTTTTGTTGTTTGTTTGCTTGCTTGCTTGTTTGTTTTTGAGACAGAGTTTCACTGTTGTTGCCCAGGCTGGAGTGCAACCTTTGCCTCCCAGGTTCAAGTCATTCTCCTGCCTCAGCCTCCTGAGTAGCTGGGATTACAGGCATGCGCCACCACACCTGGCTAATTTTGTATTTTTAGTAGAGATGGGATTTCTCCATGTTGGTCATGCTGTTCTCGAACTCTCAACCTCAGGTGATCTGTCCACCTTGGCCTCCCAAAGTGCTAGGATTACAGGCGTAAGCCACCACACCTGTCCCAGTTTTTTTTGTATTTTTTGGATAAGTTTAATATAAAATTAATGGCCTCAGCTACTTGGGAGGCTGAAGTAGAAAGATAACTTGAGGTCAGGAGTTCAAGACCACTCTGGGCAACATAGTGAGACCCGCCTCTAAAAAAAGAAAAAAAAAATTTTTAAAGAATGACTATCTGAATTTTTCTTTTCACTCTTTAACATTTATATTGATTTCTGAAATATTTTCCTCGATTTTATCATTACCAAATAAGTTGCTTTCTGGGTATTTCTATGGTTTAATGAGTATTTAATTTAATTTTACAGGATTCAGAGACTGTTTTTGACATTGAGAATGACAGAAATAGTATACTTCCAAAATCTCAATCTGAATACAAGCCTGATATTCCTCAGCCAGGCCTAGAATATAGTGGTATTCAAGAACTTGAGGATAGAAGGTAAAGAATATATACCAAGTTTTGCTACTACGTGTTTGGTACCATACTTTATTGTCTTATTTTTAACTGAAATTTCTCTTTTCAGATCTCAGCAAAAGTTTCAGTTTAATCTACAAGATTTCAGGTGTTGTGCTGTCTTGGGAAGAGGCCATTTTGGAAAGGTAATCTTTTGGAATTTTTTTCGAATAGCTACAGCATTAATAACTCAAGTAGAAAATAATTATTTTAATCTTATTTCAGGTGCTTTTAGCTGAATATAGACACACAAATGAGATGTTTGCTATAAAAGCTTTAAAGAAAGGAGACATTGTGGCTCGAGATGAAGTAGACAGGTTAGTTTTTTAAAATGAAATTGTTTATTTTTCTGAATTGAAATGTATGTATCACAACAGCAAAAGTTTACAATTTCACAATAATATATGAAGAAATTAAATATAATGTGTCTATATTTCACATCAGGTAGACATTAAATAGTTTTTCTATTTAGCCATTTCCTTTTTACCCTTCTTGTGTCAATTAACCAGTTACTGGATACCAAAAAAAGATACATAGATCTTAAATGAAATGATAAAACATCATTTACAAATAATCTACAGTTAACAGAATAGTTTATTTTATAAAGCAACATATATCTTATTTTTTCCCTCTATTTTTCTTAAAAACATGGTTTTTGACCATAACATCTTACCTTTCTGTGTCTAATAAAGTAAGTTGTAGATACATCTTATACAGTATCAAAATGCAAGGATTTGGGGGGTTAAGATTGTAATTCACTTAGAGAATATACTTTAAGAAATGACTATCTTATTACAGAATAATTAAATATGGACATTATTATATAAAATTGGCATATTTATCACAGAAAGAGGCTTTCATTGGACATTTTTTTTATACCACTAGGAAGCGTATATTAATATCAATGGTAGACAGCCCTGTATAATGAAGAGAGCGCTGGACTATGACTGAGAAGGCTGACTTTTCTAGTCTTTATTGCTCCTCCATAGTAAGGATTTGACCCCAGGGCATTTCACTGAACATCTTTGAGCCCGTTAACCCGTATATTTTAAAATATATTTGTTTTGGTAATACTTGCCTTACTGAGTTGCATTAAGTGCTATATAGATATGCCAAATTGCAACTTTTAATGGTTTTTTTCCCACCATATGGGTAGTTCCTAGAATAAGGACAGGTCTCAAAAGATTGAGGTTTTTTTTTTTAATGTTAAATAAACTTTTCCTTTTTGATTTATTTTTCACCTCTCTTTCTTTTTCACTGTTACCTGATACTAAAGATCTTGCTGGATATTCATAAAATATTTTAAACACCATATTACAGGTTTAGAATTGCTTTTATGTTATACAAGCAGATGATTAAAGCAAGTCTGTGATCCCAGTAAAGCAAGTCTTTGATTCTAAGTCTGTTTATACTTAGAATAATAGAAGGGTCAAATGTTTTTCTTTCCTAAATGAATATTTGCTTTTCTCCAGATTATTAAGTGGTAAAGACATTTACTTTCTAAAATAATAGGAAACCGTTTACTACTTCTATTAATCTTGAGCTTTCTGCCACCCTGTTACTTCTTTGTGCTGAATCTTTGTAGATAATTAATTTCTAATTAAATCTACAGAAAGTTCAGATCAAAGGATGATCTGTAGCCAAAATCTAGGCTATTATCTCTACTGAAAATTAATCCAGTCTTGTGCAGAGACAGGGTCTCACTGTGTCACCCATACTGGAGTGCAGTGGCGTTATCCTAGTTCACTGCAGCCTTGAATTTTTGGGCGCAAGCTATCTTCTTGCTTCAGCTTCCCACTGGGACCACAGGTGCATACAACTGATCCATCCTTTCCCCCATAGAGTCGGGGTCTTGCAATGTTGCCCAAGCTGGTCTCAAACTCCTGGCTTCAAGCAATCTTCCTTGGCTTCCCGGAAGTGTTGGGATTACAGGTGTAAGCCACCACGCCCAGTCCTTACTTAAATCTCTGTACTTTTCAGTAACCTGAAAATTTAAAAATCTTGAGTAGAACTGGTATAAAAAGAGAGAGAAGAAAAATTCAAGAAAGAGAAATAAAACTCACTCTTAGAGAAATTTGAGGAAGGAAGGTAAGAAAAAGGAGTAGTTTGAAATTTCTAGCATATCTGGAAGAAGGCCAGAAAAAAAATCAGTTTATGAGTTTTTATTATTATATTATGAGGTTTTTTTTAAAGACTAGCATAGTTTTAAAAATAATATATTTCATTATTTACAAGTATAAATAGTTAATAACTAAAACTAAACTTATTATAACTGAGCAGAATTTTAATCTTAAGCCATAGAATTCAGTGTTATTGTTTATTTTTTAATAGTTGTTTCTAGAATACTTTATTTTATGTGTGCGTGTGTGTGTGTGTGTGTGTGT